ATGGCAAACAGCATCCAGGAACTTGCATTCAGAATGCGGGTGATTCCCTCTGCAGCCAGCACATTGATACCCTGACTTACGATCTTGCCGGTCTCGACGCTCGCATTCAGATTGAAGTCTGTGGATTTCTTCCTCTTCACTGTCAGAGAGGGATTTGATGTCGCCATGGTGGGTGGAGGCTGTGAGTTTTTCTGGTGTGGTGGTTGCCTCGCTGGTTGATTGGCGATCGGTTCCATTTGAACACCGCATTCGCGCTGCTGATTTGTGGGTAGCTTCGGCTGTGGTGGCTTCATTGATGGCGTCAGTGAGGGAGATGTCACCCTTGGCCATCAACCTGCTTTGGAGTGCTGGGTCTTTTAGGCTGAGGACGACCCGGTTGCGCATGGCCTTGTCCAAGTTGGTGAATCCGTATAAGCCCCCTAGGTCCCTCAGGTCGGCTACAAACTCACCGATGCTCTCGCCCTCATGCTGATCTCGCTGATAAAAATCATGCCTTCGGATGAGAGTTGGTACAGCTGGAGTGTAATGGTTCCGGAGGATGGGAGCTAGGTTGTCCCAATCCATTGCCTTGACATCTGCGGGCTTCGCTAGTGCCTTGGCCATTTTAAAAACGGTAGGCCCGCGGTGCGTTAAGAAGACCGCTCACTTTTTGCTGCTGGTAGTGTCTTTTAAATTGTTGGATTCCAAGAACATTTGGAAATGATCAATGTAGGACTCCCAGTCCTCGCTGTCTGGGTTGAATGGTGCAGGCGGCGTGGCGTTGCTGGCCATTTCGCTGGTTGTCTCTGTGCTGTTTGCCACATGCTGTTCAGCCCTGTTGCCTCAGAATCCCATCCTCGTCGCCAGTGTTAAGTATGGTTGGTGGGTCCCGTAAGAACGAGGCTTGAGTAGTGAACAAACAGCTTTTTATTAAGCAGGAAGAATTCTGAGACAAAAACCCTAGCCGTGGCAGCTCTTTTTATAGAGCCGGCTATGGCTAGGCAGCCAATGACAGTTCTTTGAGTTTGCCGCGCTTGGTTGTAGCCAATCGCGGCAAAGCCTATACGAGCCAATCAGGGTTGTTTAAAGCGTCCAATGACGGTCCGGCTTTTCTGGACCAATAGGAATGCAGGTCTTCAAGCCGGCTAATATGGAACACATTACTTCTAGTTTGGATTTCTTTTTAATGAGAGCAATCAATGAAAGAGCAATCAATGAGAAGTAATCCACTGCTTCTCGTCCTGCCTTCAGATGCTATGGAGAATAAGTCTTCCCCCTCTTCTCTGGGACAGCCCTTCAAGACAGTTTTCATATCACCTTTAATCCTTCTCTTTGATATGCTAGACATATTTAGCTTCTCTGCACATTTTCTATGCTCTCCGCATCTTTTTTTGTATCATTATGACCAGAAATGAAAAACAGCATTCTAAATGCAGCCTCACTGTTGCAGTAAAAAACAGTTCTATCACTATCATTATCTTAATGCTAATCATCTGTTGACTCAACTTAAAACTACATTGGCCTTTTTGGCAGAACACTACTGGCTCATACTTATATGGTGGTTCACTTGGACACTTAGATCCCTGCCATAGTTACAAGCAATCTCTTATGTTTTCAGAAAGAAAAAAAAATATCTGCCTCCTGTATTATTTTATACTCTTGACTTGGTGTCCTACAGTTGAAAGTATTGAAGCAGGTTGAATTTTCACAAAACAGGTCAAATCCAGCTGATACAAAATGTACTGAATGTTAAGCATGCTTCTATATATCATCTATTTATACATGACTGAAAGATAGAAGTGGGACAGGAATGTGACTCTTGATTCCATGAATACCAGAGTTAATATTCAGTTCAGACCACGAAGTTCCTATGGCTGGTTGATTCATTCAAATTCATCATACAGTGATGGTAATGACTCAGCATTTTTGGTTAGCAGTAAAAAAACAAATTGGGAATCGATGGCTTTTGTGTTTTCAGAACTGGAGAAAGCTTTGTATGCTGGGTGAAAATAGACACCTAATGCACCTCTCTTTAACAAATACATTGAACTACTGAAGACTTAGCAAAAGATCTTTTGGTTGTGACACCTGAACTAATGTCTTGTTTTTATTCCATGCTTAACTTTTCATAACATCCTTTCTAAGAAATTTCTGTAAAATCTGAAGCTTCATTATCACTTTTGTGTCATTTTAATTGATCTTAGTTTAAAAAATGAAAGGTATTTCATCTAGAATAGTCTATTCTTCATTTATCATATTCTATAGTTCATCTGAGGTTACTGTTATTGGCAATTTGATTTTAAACTTGATAACCTATAAAAAATAAAAACCACTTCTTGGTGACCTAGCTAGAACACTTCTGTAAAGAAAAAGAGTTATTTTTTAAATGTCTTCCTCATCTTGTCATATATACATATATACATAGTTATGTGTATAATTATACCTAAACCAAGTATAATTCAAATTTCTTAACAACCGGTTCTGTGAGTGTGGCCTAATTTGTGGGTGTGGCTTGGTGGTCATGTGATTGGGTGGGCATGGCTTGCTGATTGGGCATGGTTTGGTGGTCATGTGACTGGGTGGGCGTTGCTTGTATGTAAATATTATAAATATATATGTAAATATTGATTTTTTTATAAAAAAGAGCAACTTTTACCCAAAAGCAGGTAAAGCAGGCATGCAGATTGAGTTGCTCACAGAATCACAGATTCACTTAGAGATCTATCTATCTGCAATTGGCTACCTGAGTCTGCACTGAAAAGTAGAAGCTTCAGTCCTAAGGAAGGTTCAGCTCTGCTTTTAGATTAGCTAGAAAGCAAGAAATCCAAGGATTTTCTGCTTTCTAGCTAATCTAAATCTCCAGCAGAGCAGAACAGCTGATGGTTGGGGGAAAAAAAGGAAAAATAGCAACTTACCAAACCAGGCAAGTTAGATGGCTCGCATGCCAGGTAAGGAGTAAGTGGGCAGGGAGGGCAGGGACAGCCAGTGGAGCGATTTGCCGGTTCTCCGAACTGCAGACAATCATAATATGCATGTGTGCAGCGTTTGCAAGAAATCATCAGCTGTGCATCTGAGCCTGGACAGCTGGCAAGCGCTGTGCTCGGGTGAGCAGCATTTGAAAATCCTTGTTTCCTGCTTTTTCAACCTCAGCTGTGCCGCGCAATGCAGCTGAGGAGGGAAAAGCAGGGAATAAAGGACAGCCTAGAGCCCGGGTAGGCGAGTGGGCCAAACACTGAACCAGTTCAGTGTTAGCTGCTCTTCGCAGCTACAGGTTCTGTAAAACCGGGCCGAACTGGTAGCATCCCATCCTAGACCTAAACATATAGATATTATTTATATCTCAAACTTAGAAAACCACCATCATCCTTACAAAGTAACTCTGATCAGTCTGCAAGTAAAATATGAAACATAAAATCTCTATATAAGTATTATATCAGATGTCAAGTTAGATAAAATTCAAGTTCAAAATAAGGGGAGGACTTCAAGGTGTTAACTGGGGCCATGGTTGCATACCTTTGTGATGATGAGAAAGGATATATGTTGGTAAGCCAATAGAACTTTTCACAAATAAATAATTTTTGTGGACATTAAAAAGATTAATTCAATCCTCCAATAAACTGCATTTTCACATGGTATCACCTAACATATCAGTAGCCTAACCTTGAATCCCTTTATTCATACAGATATGTGCCATTTATCACAATGCTGTTTTCTTAATTTAAGAAATTGGAGTCTATGCCTAATCTCACCTGTGGATTTTTTTTGAGAATCATCAAGTAAGTCTATTCACCTTTCAGTTTGAATCTTACAGAAATTATCATTTTGAAGATACTTTGACGTGTTTGGAGTTTTGCCTTTTATTTTGCTTAATATCTATATCTATATCATCTATATCTGTCTGTCTGTCTGTCTGTCTGTCTGTCTGTCTGGTATTCAGCTTTGTTCGGGTATTTTCCCACGTCATTATAGTTGTGCTTTTAAAGTTGTAGCAACAGGCTGCCATCAGCCTGTTCTGCCATCATCAGACTTCTGTATTATGTTCTGTATAGGCAAATATTATATATTGTGTTCTGTATAGGCAAGAACACAGTACAGAAGCCTGATGATGGCAGATGAGATTCTGCCGAAACATTGCTACAACTTTAAAAGCGCAACTATAATGACGTGGGAAAATACCCGAACAAAGCTGAATACCATATATATATATATACATAAAAAATACACATTCATAAGATGATTATTCTTCTCTTTGATTTCTTTCATATTTTGTCATTTATTTTAAAGCTGATATCTTTCATTATATAACCAATTGCCCATAAAATATTATTTTGTTATAAACTACTCAGAAATCACAAGAATATTGCAAATGAAAAAGTTGAAGAAAAGATGTCTCAAAGGTACTTTTTCAAAAGGTGAACTTTAAGATGAGTAGACTTCAACCAGAATTCCCTAGCCAGTGTGGTAGGGAAGACATACTATTTAAGCTTAAATAATGATGCTACTTAAGGAGAATCTGCCCCTCAATTAGTTTTCTAAGGACATTGTTTTTTCATTTAATTATTTAGCTTTAAGTTCTAAATGAAGATCTGGATTAAGTAGGTGTATTCTATTCTATTCTATTCTATTCTATTCTATTCTATTCTGTTCTGTTCTGTTCTGTTCTGTTCTGTTCTGTTCTGTTCTGTTCTGTTCCATTCCGTTCCATTCAGCTCCATTCCATTCAATCCCATCCCATCCCATCCTATTCTATTCTATCCTATACTATTCTATTTTCTCATCCAGCCTTAGGCACAAAGCCAGCTGGTTGACTTTAGCTTTAGGAAGATAATGCAAACCATTTCCCATCTGGGGTGATGGGAACGTTGCCAAGAAAGCAATAGGGACATTTCCAGGCTTTCTCTGAAAACCAGAGATGAATGAAAAAAGGAAATAACAAAAGAACTAAACAGCTATGAGCTGTTTTAACATTGAATTATATGGCTGTGTGTATATATTTGTGCTTCTTCAAAAATTATACTTACAGTTATCCAGCTAACTTGCTGTCCCATATCTGTGAAATACAGTGTAATAATAGAAGATGCTGCAAGACTCTTTACATTAACAGAATCTTTTAAAAAGGGCCCATCTGTAAAAAGAAAAGAAAAAGCAAGAACAGGAAACACTTAATGACATCTTGTACAATATTTCCCTGTTAACATATATGAGCAGAAAGAAATTCTGCTTAAAAAAAGCCTAACAAATGAAATACTATGCAAGCATGAGGATATAGTAATTCTGCATCAGAGATAGAATATTTATTTGGATGCCTTTTAACAAGCTACAGTATTTTCTGACTGTTTTTTCAGAATACAAATGTAACCTGAGCAATAACTCAGCACAGCAGTTCTTTGTAACTTTTACAAAAGGAAGGATTACTAAAGGAAAGAAATGGTGGAATTGTAGGGGAAAGTTGGTCAAGCAAAACCACCTATTGCCTTATTAATTACATGCTATCAGACAGAGCATCAAATATCAATTGTGCTTTGAAGACAAAAGCAACCTGGGAAAGTGAGAGATAAAGAAATACACAGACGAAATTCCTAATGTTGTCTATATGATCACTGGCTTTTGCTATCAGTAGGCTCAAAGATGCTATACGGTCAATGCAATCAAAGTCACTCTGGTAAGAATTTCTACCTGGGTAATAACTCTGAGGCACTCCTATAGCCCAAATTTTCCTCCTCCTTTTAAACTCTCTGGACATGTCTTTCTATTACATGGATGGCAAAGAATCTGCTGAACGGTGAATGACGCATACTAATTTTGCCATCTGTGTGGGTTTCCTCAACTCTTGCTTATCTTATGTTTTCTAATACTTTCTGTCTTATGCTTTATTTTTCTAGTTTGACTATAGTTAGCTATATATACATGTTCTCTCAGGAAGTCTTTTCACATAATTCCCAGTTTGCTATCTCTAATTTCAGCAAGGAAATTAGGCAGAGTGAAATGTTTCACATTTGTACATATAGGCTAGGAGGGAATGATCATCATAAACATGGAATATATAGATAAGCTGGAAGAATATACGTTCTTTTTGTTCAGCCTGGTTTGCATTTATAGGACACTTTGATGAATAATGAATAATGAAGAAGTGAATTAGAATTCTTTATATGTTCCTCCACACCTCCTGCATTAGCAAAAGTATTTGAGGTTCCTGTGGAAAGCCTAAGCAAGAATCTCAACTCTTTTTCAACATTCCAGTTGACCATCCTCAGTTAAAAGAGGTAGACAACTGTTTATAAACTCTTGCCAATATTAGTAAAAAGACTTACTAACAGAGTATGTTTCTAAACTTTTTTTCTTGATTCATTGTTAAACAACTGAGTGTGAGGGATATTTTTGTTATGGTGGAGAAAAATATAAATATGTAGGAACAAATGCTTAAGAAAGTGCTCCCATATTCTGAAAATTAGAAGATTTTAGAAGGCTCCTTCCATCCTTCTTTATTCTATATTCTATATACATACATTTCAATGATTCACTTTTTGGAATTGCACTTTCTGTACTGTACAAAATAGATATTTATGTACTTAGAGCAGTGGTGTCCAACTCACAGTGTTATGACAGTATCACGTGACATATTGGGACTTCCCCCCTTTGATAAATTGGGTGGGGCGGGGCCAGCATGTTACACATCCAGTCCGTTAGCCGCGGGTTTGACACCCCTGACTTAGATCCTCCCACAGAAAATATGTATACCTAAATCTATATGGTATGTAGTATTATGGGGATGAATTTCCTCAGGGAAAAGAGACTAAAATATTTTGATAGTAAAATGAATACTTACTGCGCTCTAGTCGCAGGCCTATCCGAGATGGGTACCATTGTGGACCTGTTCTCAAATAAGTGAAAAATATACTTTACTCCCAGGCCTTTGTTAAAGAGTAAGAGTCCTATTATTTTGCCACGTCAGTCTGAAGTTTATTGGTTCAGTACTATTGCTTTATAGTATGACAGAATACTTGAGTAATCAACAAATGCTTATTATGAGGAATTCCGAAATCTAGATTTGCTTTGGAGACCGGCTGCTAACTGAATTTTGCTATTTTGATGTTCTTACAAATTATTGACAATATTGTACACAAAATTAAGATGAAAGTAATGCATGAACTGCTATAAGCTTTGTGTTGTGAATAATTTGAACCATGTCAATATATTTAAATAATTAATCTGAATTAATATCAGACCTATATAGTTATTTGTTTTATCATGATGAATTACCAAGAAAAAATCACCTCAGTGTTTAACCACTTCATTAAGAAATTATATCTTTTTGGTCATGAAAAATTAAGATAAAGTGCATGTCACTATCCAAATATAATGTTAAAATATGCTGCATCTAAACTTTTTCAGAATTTTGAATCTCTTACCAAAAGTATTCCAAACTCAAATTTTCAGAGTTATTCCAAAAGACATGGAGTACAATAAAATATATTTATTAGTTACTCATTTTTCAGTTCCTTGCTATTCCATAGAAAGAATACAATCCCCAGCTAGTTCTAAAAAAGATGCACTAAAAGCTGAAATATTACTGGAATGATCAATTGATAATGGAGGAGTGATAAGGACAAAATGAAAAAAAAAGTAACATTGTACTTTCACAGTACAGATGTCACTCCATAAAAAAATGGAACTTTCAGAATGCAGGTTATTTGTTTTACTTTCTATTGTTTGCCTACTTGTTTTGTTAGTATTATTATTATTATTATTATTATTAAAGATAGGAGAGGAGGAGAGAAGGTCAACGTCTGGGCTGATGGTGTAACAAGGGTGGATTTAGAAAACTTTTACATCCAACATATTTGAAATCCAATAGTTTTGAATTAAACTTGATTCAGGGTTAATAAATCCTAGGTATATATATTATTTGGGGGGGGGGCGGGGTTTGCAGTTCTTAATAAGAACTAGAGAAAATTAATGACCATAACCATTTTTGGGTGGATGGAATTTGAATATGGCTAGAAGTCATCATATTAATTCAAAATTAACTTGGACCTTATATTTTATATTATCCCAAAACATATCAACTGAAACTTAAATGAGAGATGAAAAGATGTCAGCTCAATCTCCAGAACAGAAGCTATAAGACCATGCTTCATTGTTAGCCAAGACAGACACATTCTCTGCAAGTAAAATAGATCTAGAAATGTCAGATCCTTATTGGACTGTCTGGAAATAGCAAAGGTCATAATAAATGTCCTTTAAGACAGATGAGAATCTAGTGTCTGAGAAGTCTCAAGAACACTTCTGAATTACTGCAAAACAGATAATGATATCACTTGGCAACTCTGTATTTATTTGTTACCCAAATTGGAAATGAGCTAAGCCATCTGGAGGACTTTTTTCTTTCTGATTTCTTATGCACAAACCTAACAATTTAAGAAAATGAAACAAGCTTTAAGTTCATTTATTTTAATATGAGAAGGCTAGGCTTCAAAATGAACCTTGGAATTAAGTCAGTGAAATTGATGTACTTCTCTGGCTGAATTGTCTTTCTTCATTTGCCACAGTGAAATTGACTTATAGTCATAGGAGATCAATACACATTTATACAAAGATATCACTAGATTCATATATTAAAGCATAGGAAAATAATTTGGTGATTTATCATTAACAAATGGATTTCCTGGCAGCTTTATACTTTGCATTAACATGTAATACATTTTGTCTAGCTTGGCTTTTATAAGTTATTGCAATTTATCTTCTGTAACATTGAATGTGAATCCCTACCACTGAGATTCTTTTTATTAAGGCTGAATACATTAATGCTTTTAATCCTAATTGGTAGGTTAATTAATTAAAGCTGATGCTTATTTGGATTGCCATGACAAAGAATTAAAGGCACAAGTCTTTTAATGTTGAAGTTATCCTGAATTTGAATTCATTGTTATAACATGGAATAAGAAAACAGATTATGGAAAATATTTCCTATGAATAATGAATGCACTTCTTTCTCTCTAAAAAACTGGATGTTTATCAGCACTTGCTCTTTCTACTTCTGACAAGAGCTTCATCTCGGTAATAGGGACATGCTGCAATAATAACATGCATGAAGTGTTAGGGAGCGGGGCAGAGGTGGTATTCAGCAGGTTCTGACCAGTTCTGGAGAACGGGTAGCAGACCGTGACTGGAGATTTTACAGTATACTTCCCCTGCCACGCCTACCAAGCCATGCCCACAGACCTGGTAGCAAAAAAAAAAATGAATCCTATCACTTTTGGGGGGGGGGGGGGGAGAACTGAGCATTTTAACTCTGCAATTTCATGACATTGGATTCTTCAGTCTCTGCTGATAATCATAATTTTCAATGTTATAGCCTCAGTAGTGGAAGCAGAAAGGAAATTATCATGGGCATGGAATGTGAACAATTTAATTAGGAACAAGATAGAAAAGGAGGGAAGAAAAAATAGAAGTAGATAAGAATGAAAGAATGAAAGGTAATGGGCAAACAAAGAGTTCTCCATACTGAAACATTATTTTGGAGGGAACTGTTCCTTATTAACAGAAATAAATATATCCAACTAAATCGTATTTGGAGAGGTAAGTGCATTTAGAATTCAAGTGTTATATTATCCATAATATTAGAGGACCAATTGCACACAGTTTAGTTTCAACACTACTGACTAATTCATCTTTACCAACACAATTAAAAGTACACAATTCTACCACCACCAAATAACATACCCCAATATCTTTACATAGCTCTTTCTGAAGCATGCACAGTCTGCAAATATTCTACCTATATAGCTTGCTCTAAATCCTCTGATGAGTTTGGTCCAAAGAAATAGTAAAATAGTAATTTAATTTAAAGTAAAGTCTCTAAATTTGACAACTAAATAAAAAATTAAATGCTTACATATTTTGTGAAACTTATGTTTTACATCAAGAAGTGTTGATGATGGTGGTACCTGAAAAAAAATAGGAGCAAGATAAAAATGTGTAGGCATACACCCACATGTATTTCCATATATATACTTAATCAAAATATTGAATATTTAAGGATCCAGCATCCAGACAGAAGCTGCACAAGATCAATTCAAAAGTTCGTTTAGTTTAGTTTGAGCAGTTTCATATGCAGCAGACAAAACCAGCCAATCTATAGCACTTTAGGGCCTCTTTCTTTCAGTTACAAATATTTAAGTATTCGTTAGATATTCTGTTAAGATAGAGTAAGTTAGATTGAATGAATTTTATTATCTCAGAATGAAGATTTATTCATAATGTTTTGATCTGTTCACTAATATCATAACTTCACTAATATATAAGCTATGTTTAATTTTTTTAAATGTCACTTAAGTTCCAATCACAAAGAATACAGACAAATGTCTAAGTCCTTGTGAAATCTAAATGTCCTCAACACAGAAAAACCCGACTTGATTTTATGTTGATTCAGTAATTAAACTCAAATAGTATTTTAATAATCCCTGCTTCCAGGAGGTCTTGACATAAAGGAAAAATGGACAAATAAATTAAGAATTGACATTTAAGACATTACAGTAGCCCCTTAAAGAGCAAATGCTCATACGGCAATATTCATACAGAGATAAATGTTCTGTGTAAAAACAGATGTTACAATAGAAGGCCAAAGTAGATTTAAAACAGCTAATAATCTAGACCTAGACATTAACATGGAGAAATGGGAACTTTTATACTTGGCCTTCTGCTGCAAAATATATTAGGATGTTTTTTTGAAAGCATTTGGTCTGATGGTCAGTTCTAGCCATGTAGCTTCCATATCTATCTGTCTGTCTATCTATCTATCTGTCTATCTATCTATCTATCTATCTATCTATCTATCTATCTATCTATGAACTGTATATAAATTTATTATGACATTACTCTGACTCATGTCTCTAGGCTTCAAAGAAGAAAATGAGCAGTATTTAAAAATATTATAAATCACAAGGAAATTAACTTGAGGTAATAAATTAATTTTCTCATAGAAATTCTCTAGGCCAACCATCCTGTCAATCTCTGCAAACTCGAGATAATAATTCTTAGTGCCTTATATATTAGTTGCTGTAAGGATTTATAATGCTTCTGAATATTCTATAGTACAAATTTGCTTTTCTGTATCAAAAATATTACAGCATATTATATGAGATGTTTTGTGTATAAATATGGGTATGATTTTTCAGAAACTCAGTTCTAAGAATATGTCAATTGTATAATACGGAAACTATCAGAAGAGCAAATGTTAAATAGAATTGGATATAAAATATTAGCACTACATAGCAAAAGAAGTAATATTAAGCAAATATTACTTATTTAAAAATATGTCAAAATCTAAGGGAAAGATCTTTTGCTCCATCTCTTGAGAACCAGTGAGCTGCTACAGAAGGTATCCTGTAACATTTAAATAATGGAAACCAAATAATTAAAAAAAAACCCTTATCTATAGACATTTGATTTTGAGGGCTAGGCACAATAGGAATCATTCAGCAACATTTTGTCAATTTCAAAAGCAAGGTCATACATTCACATTTGTTTGATTCATAATCCTGTCTAAAAATTACAGTGGATCATTAAAGTGAGTTTTCATGAAAGCTGTATTGTGGTTTGCCTTATTTAACATAAAATATTTTAAAAACACTGCAATGTATGTATCACCTATTGGTACTATTCTGTGGATTAATCAGCAGAAAAAAATAGAAATACAATACAGAAATACAATTTCTGAGAAAAATCATTAAGCCAATGCAAAGATTAAAATAAAATCTTTAAGACAGCAAAATATTGTATTTTTTTTAAAAAAGACATGTACTCTGCAATGTACTGCTAAAACCACACCTAAAATCTTACCTTATCCACTACACAGATCTGCTTTTTGCTGTGGGCATCAAGAATCTCCACTTCAACATAAGTGATTTTTGAATGTCTAAGAACTGGCAGTGGTCTTAGGTGGCCAGCAGAAAGTACGAGCTGGGATAAGTTGAAAAAACTTTTCATGCCATTATAAGGTGCAGGCGATACTGATCCCTGGATGGCAAGATCTTTCTTGTGCTCAAGAGTGCTGGGTTTATGTCTCCTGAACATGACTGCATGAAATACAAGGGCCTGTCATGTCAACACTGGACACCTACAATGGGTGATCTGTTGTCCCTGCATCACTTAAATACAAACACTGGCTGATGAAAGGTCAAGTGGCATTCCATTTAAAGAGTCTAAGTTTATATGGAAGGATTGGAAACAATAGCTTTCTAATCCATTACTATATTTAGCTGGCTATTGTGATATTCTGTACTACTGTTTTTATTTAAACACAGTGTTTGAAACAATACACCCTGCTCAGTTTCTTATCTTGCTTCCTAATTACTACAATCCTATCCCTTTTTTTAAAAAAAAAAGTCCAAGAGCTATAAAGGAATACGCAGTGGAATATGTTATTATATATAGAACTTTGGAATACAGATCAGTCTAGTTTAAAAAATGCAAGTCAAATGTCACCCACATGGGAGTTGTTTCTTAATACAGAACATGTCTATACTAAGATTGTAATGCCAATCAAACAATCAAATACTGTCAAATATTTGCCACATAATGTCAAGTAATCCATGAAGCTAAAAATATGCTTGTGTAGGTAGATGACTTTCCGTTCAATTGCATCATATTGTCATCCAATGCTAAAAGCAAAGGAAAAACAAACAAAAAACAAAAATAAAACCCCCAAAACATTCTCTGTATTATAGGAGTCAAAGTACATGCACACTTTACATACTATTCAAACTTCAGTACAAACTTCATTGTTGCATCTCTGGCCTCGGATGACCCAGCATAAAAAATGTAGGAGCAATGCTTCCATTTGTTGGCATCAAACTTGGAATGAATACAATTTTCAGAGCAGAATGCTTCATATGTGCCATATAAGAATATCAGGAACATACTATATTCTAAGTAAATTATGGTTCCATAATTGCATGTTCATATTGAAGACATAAGTTTACAACAATTAACAGATGAATTTATATTTGATTGGGATAAACAGTAATATTCTGCATGGATCTGTAATATTTAGAATGATCTACTTATAGTAAGTTTAAGCAGTAGGTGAAATACTATGCAAATGATCCCTATCAAAACTGAAGCATGAATGGTCTTGATTAAGTAGCAATCAGAACTATTTATTCTTCTTGATAGGGAATAACATATTATTGTTCCAAGCAGAAGTGGAGAGAGTAAATGTGAAGAAAAAGTCAAGGCTGAAGGACTTCCTTGGTGATGTTGCAGACTCATAATCTAATGATAGTGGAGAAAGCAGTGAAAGTTTAAAAGAGAAAGGCAAGCCCTACCTTTTCTCTGCAAGTAAATAGCCACCACACCCCCATTGTATGATGTAATTTCAGTAGCAGCAGCAGGTGAGGATACAGAGAAGAAAATGTACTATAAAGATTGGGAGTGTGTGGGCCGGTAGCTTATGTCATTCTGGGAGCTGAAGAAAGAAACTGCTGGCCAGAGAATATTATTTATTTTATTTATTTATTTTGTCAAAAACTTACAATACCATAGAAGTAAGAATAAACATAAGTTTAAATAGGAACTAATAATTGGGGACCATAGGACAGGGACCGTAGGCATGATTGTGCGCTTATGCATGCCCCTTACAGACCTCTTAGGAATGGGGTGAGATTAATAGAATATGAAGCAGGCAATTGTGGCTTCATAGAGAATAAAGGACGGAAAAAGAAGAAAAGAGGACATGCTTATAAACTTTGATCTAGTCACCTGTAAAATCACTCTGAGATTCCTCTAGATTTTTTTTCTGCTAAACCATGTCCTTCTAAAACATTTTGATAATTTGATCAAAAGAAAATATGTTTTCTCTTTTGTGTATACTCCTAAAGCGTTGCATATTCTACTTGAATTATATTTAAAATTGGTCTCCTGTGAGATTCTAAAACCTAATCTGCATCGGTTCTGCATTTTATTATAACTACAGTTTTAAAATCAGTAATTTCTGAAATGTGGAAATTTTTCAAGGTATATCCCTAATCTCTATGTGTTTAACTCATATATCTTTCTTAAAATATGTTGTCTTTTAAAAAATATGTATACCTTAATATATACATTCTATATAATATATAAATAATATAAAACTTAATAGATATCATTCTATGCATACAATACTTTATTAACTATAGATCCAAATAAATGATCTGGAAATTTCCTACAAAAAATAACATTTCTGTTCTTTTTATTATTTACTCACAAAAATGGGTGAGATAGCTGTGAGTGACAGAAGGAAATTGTATGACAAATCTTGGCAATAATATTCAAAAGTGAGTTTTCCACATTTTTGAGCTCAACATTCTTTTTGCATGCCTTTTTGCAGTAATATCAAAATGTGGAAATCCATGTATTTTAATCCTGTTGGGTTCAACTGAAATGTGTTAGAAGGAGATTTTCTAATAACCGATGTTGCAAATATTCCTTTGGTTTTCATGAAACTTTTAGAAAATTTTACTGTTTCACATAATATCCAGTGAAATGGCTGTTCCATTTTTACCATTCAAGAATACAGAGAACTTGTAGTTCAGTTTTTAACATTGTGTGAAATAATGGAAGCCTAATTCTTCCATTCTTCATCTGTTATATCTTTCATTCAATAATATCATTTTCTTCTAGGATGAATTGATCTGAAATGATTGGAATGTGTAAACCTTTTTGTCACTGTAGCCATCAGTAGCTAAGAAATCATCAGAATCTTCCCTTTCCTCTTGATTAATACCATAGATTATTTTGTTTTCCTTTTAGGATAAATAGTGTTCTGCTTTTAATCACTAGCACTTTTGACAACTAAAAATCTTTGTCGTTCACTGTTCCTGTCAGTGGGAGATCACCCATCGCTATGTCTTGCATACATTCCAAGCTTCTCCTTAGAAGGAAGAGGCTTCTTTCTGTACCTTGATAAGGGAAATCTCAATTAATGCAAACTTTTGATGCTGAAAAATAAATCTAACCATTTCTAGGCTTAACTGTGCATCACTTATTAAATAAAGCATCGAGACACATTTATACCTCAAAATAAAAGTCTATTTTCATAGATGTGTTGATCTCAGGGTAAGACAAATAGATTCCCAATAATTTAAAAAAATAATCCTCCCTCACACAAAAAGAATCAGTAAACAATATAACTAACATGCTGACTGGAGATGTCTGGGTCATCTGGGAGCTGAAATCTGTATTTTAAAGTTGCTGAGATCGAAAAACACTGTAACTCTCAGGCACAAGAAACTAGGAGCAGATGTAAGGTTAAAAACACTAAAAGTTTATTTTATGTTACCTATATATAGGAATATATACATACATGACATGACTCACTGAAATTAAATGTGGGAGTATCTGGATCAAATAAAAGAAGCCCTTCTTTACCTTAACTGAACCAGGAAATTTGCTATTATCAGGCTAATGCTCATTACTAATAAAGGCACAGAATAATTCATGGATGATCTCACCATCAATATTTGCTCATCTTTTGGAGCTATACTATCTTCTGAATCACAGGCAGCATGGAGTATCACATGTTGGCTAGCACTGGTGGAAAAATTCCTATGCCTTCCAGTCCATGTTTGTTAGCTTTCTGGTGGCTAATAGCCACTGAATTTATATCTGCTTTTGGTTTCTGCCATAGCATCTTATTGAAGGAACTCTGTGAACCACAGTCATTATATCAGGAGGCTTGTAACTATAGGGAAAACACTCACCAAGAAAAACATAACAAAAAAAAACCTAACACTTTCTAGAAATATGAAATTATATCCAGACATTTTAATGATGGTACAAATAAAGGCAGGTTTCTAAAGGAAAAAAATGTTACTTACTGTCCAGTATATAATCCAGGTATTAGATTACATACTGGACTATATTGGCATCATCAAGGTGCATTCCTTATTTATGTATAAATACTTCTCACTATTTCATTGCTGTCTATTACTGAAAATTATTGATTGTACTTGTTCTAGAAATTGTCATTGCCCCAAATAATGCATTTATTGATTTCAATGTGTATCAATCAAAACAAAAATAATTGCAACTTTGAAACTTTAGGATCCAAAATTTTGAAGTATACTAAAATTTAAAGCTTAGGATCCAAAGTTTTGAAGTACAGTAAAATTTACAGTTAAGGGTATTAAAAACCACTAGTTCTCTATCATTCTCCTCCATTTGGCACCCAGGAGGTTAGCAGGCATTTAAGTACTCTAAATAGAATTGAAGGTGCATTTAGCACTGCTAGTCTGGGAGTCGTGTTGCATTCCCCATCTTTCTTAAATAAGAGTCAATATTTCACTATGCAATCATCTCATGGCAGGGAGGGAGCAATTGAGGCCAAATCCTTCAGCCAGGGCATCAAATGTCATTTCTAACATAAATTTCAAAATATCAAGGACAGGACTTTTGAACCCCTCACAAAAATTACACACACACACACATATATAAATATCAATACACAGGATGAACAATGAAATACCACAACAGCATATCCACATGCTGAATACTAAAATATGCCAAACGTGAACTAAAGAAGGATGCATCTATCAGTGATAATGTGCTAAAAAAGAGCTTTTGAGAAACAAAGGAAAATACTGATATACTTAAGGAATAGAGAGATACTATCTACAAAAATACACAACACCAAGAATGAAAGACTTCTACTAAAAATCACACAACTAAACAGAGGAAATTGGTGAACTTTTTGCTAATCATTTAGCTTAGGTATGCAGGAAACACATCACTGTAGAAACGGGGGACTTTAACTACCCTGACATCAGTTGGGATAATAGACCCGAAAGGGACCTTGTGGATCTTCTGGTTCAACCCCTGTTCAAGCAGTAGACACTAAGCCATTTCAGAAAAATGGTGTCCAACCTTTTCTTTAAAAAATCCAATAATGGAACACCTACAACTTCTGGAACTAGCTATTCCACTGATTAATGTTTCTCACTGACAGGAAATTTCTCCTTAGCTCTAGTTGCTTCTTTCCTTAATTTGTTACCCTTCCATCTTGTGGTAGTGCTATCTAACCCACATTTTTCTATGTTATCAAGTAATCAGTCGTAGTCCACCTTATCAAATTCTTGCTAAAGTCAAAGTAAATTACCCGTGTTTCCCTAAAAGTAAGACTGGGTCTTATATTTTTTAAGCTGCCAAAAAAGGCAC